AAGTGAGAATAAATTAGTGCCATTAATTATTATAATTAGTTTCCATGAAAGCTAATTCTTTCCATTGTCAAACAAAACGAGATTTGATATATTTCAGTTGAATAATGCATGCGCGAGTGGTTCAACAGCTGTTTATCTCTCAAAATTGTGTATTGAAGGAGGTACTTTTAGGAATTTAAATTTATAGCAAAAAATTGAGATAATTCTTTCGTAGAAAACTGATTACTTTTAGGAATTAATACAAAACACATCCTTTTAATTGTATTGATTCAATTTTATTAAACTTATTAGCATAATTCTCATCACTAATATTTATGGCTAATTAGCAGATAATTTTCAAAAATTAATCTTTTCTTTTGTCTCGAGTAAATTTTGTTTATTTAAAAACTTGTTGCTTTCAAATTTATTAATTTCTAAAGTGATTCTTTTATTAAATAGCACATTGAATGAATCAAAATATTTACTGCTATTAACAAGTTTGCTGGTCATTTTTACTATTCTTTTATTTATAGGCTTATTCTTAATTTCCTGATTAATTACAGGTATTAATTAATTACCTGGTCATAATAATTAGACCAACCCATATTATCCTTTCAGAATCAGTACACGCTTGTTTTCCTTTCAGGTCACGTAAATGTTGCACTTGCAGTAGGTTTTGAGAAAATGAAGAGTGGCTCACTGGAAGCAATGGAAAAGCTTGATGATCGAACACACGCACTCGAACGACATATTAACGTTATTTCTACGACACGTGGCCTGTTACCAGCACCGCTAATGGCGCAAATGTTTGCTAATGCTGGACGAGAACATATGGATAAATACGGTAGTTTCTTTAATTTATTCAGTTGTAAAAGTCATTTTTTGATGAATTTGAATAAATAAATATATTTTCTTTCCTTTTTTAAAATTTAAAAAAAGATAAAAGAATTGTTCAAAAAGACAAAATATGAAATGGAAAGCTTTAGTATTGAAATATTTCATTCAGTTAATCGATTTTTAGTTTTACTGAAATTAATTTTTTCGTCTTTTTCAGGAACCAAACGAGAACACTTTGCTAAAATAGCTCAAAAGAACCATAAACATTCCATTAACAATCCGTAAGATTGTTTAAAATTATTTACCATTTTTTGATAATAAATAAAAAGTAGAAATTTCTGTCATTTTCAAAGATTAGTACTGATTTGTGTTTCATTTCAATTTTAAGTAAATAAAATGTAAAAGTCATCGAGTTGACCAATCCTCTTTTCACTTCATTGCCTTTTTTTCCAATTTGGTCCTTAATTTCCTTCCAACAATTAAAATGAGTAATTTTAAATGGATTCATTAACTTTACTGACATGAATATTCAGTTACTTTCTTCTTTTTTATAGAAATTCACAGATTCAAAAGGAATATAGTTCGGATGAGATTCTGAATGCACGAGTGATTCACGATTTTATGGGTCTTCTAGAATGCAGGTTAAGCTATAATTTAATAGCTGATCTGATAAAGTGATAAGCAATAACTGTTATCTCTCTTATCAGTTGAGACAATTACTATAGTTTTATCAAAAGTAACGACTACTGTAGAAATGAAAAAGAAGAAATATGCATTAGTTGTTACAATGCAGCTATTTTGCTATGGAATTTATTATTTAGCAGCATTTAATATCTCTCAAAAAAAAGAGATAAAAGAACAAAAGCAGTGTTTTCTTAAAAGTAAAATTTGAAATCAAAACTTTCAGTCCGACATCGGATGGTGCAGCAGCAGTGATTTTATGCAGCGAACAATTTTTAAAGAAATCTCCACACCTTTACAAACAAGCTGTTGAAATTATTGGTGATGTTACTTTGAAATATTTCAACATTTAATAAATATAAATTAATTCAAAAGACAGAAAACGGTAATATAATAAAAGAGAAAAAACTGTTTTGTTAATTTCGGAGTGTTATCTGAAATGAGAAAATTGTGCATAAATATGTTATAAATTTGATAAAAATGCAATAAGATTTAACTTAAAGAATTAAAAACCAAATAAAATTTATTGGTGGGACAATTTATAATCCATTCCTTATGAGTTTGATTTTTATATAGTAAATTTATATTTTAATTTAATCCTTTCTATATTAACGTATTCAATCCAAGGAAATTATATAAAATCATCTAATTTTTTTGTACATCTAATTTAATAATTTTCTAAAAATGTATTTTTTCATTTTAATTGTACTATAATTTTGTTGTAGATATATTTTTGATATAATTTTTTAAGAAATAAAATATTGAATAATTTTAATACAGGTGCTGAGCTAGGCACTGATGAACCATCCGTATTTGCTGAACATTCGAGTCTAAAAATGATTGGCTTTGATATGATACGAAAATTATCAAATAGATTGTATCAGAAGACAGGTTTGACACCAAATGATGTGCAGGTATACAATTTTTTTTTTTTTTTTTGTTTTGAGAATTTTTAAATTGTTAAAGAAAATGTTTGATATCTTTGAAAAAAAGAAAAATAGAAATCATTTTAAAAATTAGCTAAAAAAGTTCGTTATGATTTATTAAACGAAATACTTATTATTTTAGATGAGAGAAATTACAGGTTATTGAGTTACACGATTGCTTTGCCCCAAATGAACTAATTTCTTATGAAGCACTTGGCCTTTGTCCTATTGGCAAGTTGTTTCAAGATTTATAGCTAGAATTTAAAATTGTTTTTATAGACCGACGGTGGAAATCGTCAAAATTACACTCGAAATTTTAATATCATTTCAGTACGAAATTAAAAAGTTTCCTTTAGGCAAAGGCGGTGATATTGTTGATAAGGGTGATAATACATATGGTGGAAAATGGGTCATCAATCCTTCTGGTGGATTAATATCCAAGGGTCATCCAATAGGTGCAACTGGTATGATTACAAAAACAAATGAACTTTTAATTTTTTATCAGTGGAAAGATTATTTCAAATTTCATTACCAAATTTTCATTTGTCATATTTCAGGCGTAGCACAAGTCGTTGAATTGTCACTTCAACTGCGTGGCATTGCTGGCGCACGCCAAGTACCAAATTGCAAAGTTGCATTGCAGCACAACATTGGTAAGATCGATAATCATTTAGCTTAAATAAAATATTTTAAATCAGGTTGCTAAAATCTAATTTGAATTGTACGGTGTGCAATAAAGCCAAAAAATTAGCTTATTTTCTCGAAGTTGGTTGAAAGTAATTGAAAAACTATCTCTATACTACTTTTTTTCCTTTATTTTTATGAGAAATTGATTCATAGAATCACATTTTATGTTTGACAAACAAAATTAAATCACAAATAATAAGTAATAAAGGAAAAGATTTGATTTCGAAAAAAAAATTAATAAACTGAAAAAAGTAAATTGTAATGAATAAAAGAAAAATGAAGAAGATGAGTCAAAGAGAAATATTTATCATTAAGGAATTGGCGGAGCTGGCATGGTTGCATTGTATCGGTTGGCTCAATTGTCGTCTCCAGAAAATGTGACAAATGCAAAAGTTCCAGTGAAAAAAATCTTTTTAAGTGATGCCATTTTTGATGGAATTAGAGAACGTATAAAAACGGTAAAGGAATTTTTTTTTCTTTAATAAGAATTTGAAGATTTTTAAATTTGATATATGATTATAAAGATCTCAAATAAACTTGTCCTTTTAAAGAAAAAAAAAACCTGAAGTTTTCTTTCATTTCAGGAAAAAGATTTATCACAGACAATAAACAGTTCATTTAGATTTATTTTAACCGGACCGGATAATGCTGTCAAAAAATGGGTTGTTGATTGCAAGGTATTTATAAACTATTATTGCTATCAAGTTTTTTAGTGTAATGAAGTGAATATGTGAAATTTTATGAAATAAAGTAAATATTAGGAAGAATAATTAAATATGTGTAATTAATTGTTAGGTGACACCACCAACTATTATCGAAATGGGTGAAGGTCAGGTAGATGTTGAGATGACAATGAAAGATTCCGATTTTGTGAAAATTGTTACTGGAAAATTGCGACCTGATCAGGTAAGTATGCTTATTTGTAATAGAAAAACGATTAAATGTTTATAATATGTAAATATTTACATTGAAACAATGCACGACAATGAATATCAATCAGTAGTAGTTTTATCTCAGTTCTTTGATTTCAGTCTTATTATTCCCAAAATTTAAATTTCATGAAAGCTAGTCATTCTGCTATTATGTCTAATAAATAACTCATTTTTATATTCCAACAGTTTAATATTTTGAAATTTGCTTTTACAGCTTTGATCTGTAATATTTAATTGCTAATTTTTAATATTATACAGAATGATTTCAGGCATTTTTACAACGCAAACTGAAAATTAAAGGTAATTTGGCAAAAGCAATGAAACTGCGAACATTAGTGAAACCAGAACTATTTAAAGCTAAATTATAATGTAAAAGTTTCTAATTTTGTCTATTTTACTTGTGATAGAAATCTTTTAAATTTGAATAAATAAGTTATCAATACTTTTTTCTTGTTGAAGTTCATTTCAGATATGATCAATTTATCACATAAATGTATTTCCATAGCACTAACGAATACTTACAGTATAATATCCTAAATTCATTACAGTATCACCGCATATCATTTAAGGTTAAATCACTTCTTATTATACAAATGATAAGTGATAGTATATAAATGATAAGGAAATTTCCAAATGGCACTATTTATTAATACAATATATTACATTAACAGAAAAAAAAAGTTGATATCAGACATAAATAATCATTGAAATAGTAGAATACTACCTACACATGGAACAAAAGTTAATAGATAAGTTAAAATTAAATTATAAGTAAAAATAATGATATCACGGGCAAAAAAATCGAGTGATTAATTATCAGATCATAATAGATCGCTATTAATTATCAGATCATAATAGGTCGCTATTAATTATCTATCAATCGTTGATTATTTAATATGCCAGTATAGAATATTGCATTTCTATTGAAAATAAAATAAAGAAATATTATCGTTTTTGTTCATCCAGAAACATTCGATAATTGTTTCAGATGCTGAAATATCTAAAATTAAAAAATATTTTATATCGGAATTATGCTTGCATTTGCTAATCAAACTATTTAGTACTATGTGTCAATGAAAGTGCTGGCTGGGAACGTTATCATTTACTTATCAGATCACACATATAATTTCATTTTTATTAAATAAAACAAAGAAAGATTAATAAATCCTATGAAATGAATTATTTCATTTTTAAAAGGAATATTATTCCTCTATTCACCTCACAAGTTGCCAACATTAAATCCACATTTACTGCAGCGCATGCACTTCTGCATGCTACATTCATGCATGCCTGCTTATTTGTTGTTGAAACCGTGCATAAGCAATGAGCCTATAACTACGAGAAATTGTTGAATCTGAGCAAAAAAAGAGTGCTAAATATGGTTTAATAATTCGATGATTTCCTAAAAAATAGCTAAGTAACACTTAAATATTTCTTACTTATATTATATTAGTTATAATCTATATTAATAGTAGCATAAATCTTCCAAGTTTAATTATCTGTTTTTTGTCAATTGAAATTGTGAAGGGAAATATTTAGTGAAAATTTTCGCAGTGACAAATTATTGTTGCTCATATATTTACATATTTCTGATTGAGTATTTTTAAATAATTTCATTTATTTCATGTTGTAATTCGATATTTCCAATATATTAACTCATTGTAATATATTTATAATTTATTATTGAATACTGCGATTTTCACTTTGAATATCATTCAGACTGCAACGCAAAACTGCTATCATTTACGAAAATATTTTGAAGTAAATAATAAAAACTCTTAAATCATTCAATGAATGAAAGCAAATAGATAACTCATTTTTGAAAACTTTTGTAAAAATTGGCTCATTTTGATGATTAATAATATTTTAGGTTAGAACCTGAAAAAGTGTTTGAGCTATTAAACGAAAGACAAAACCCTGACGAATCGATTTTGTAATATGAATAAACAACTTATAACACCTTTGCATTCCAAATGAGAAACTTAGTAATTTTTATGAAATAAAATTTCGAAGCAAAAAAAAAAAAAATAAAGAAAAAGCATTTGTAAAAATGATCTGATATCCTTTTTCGTTGAAGCACAGCTGTGTTAACTTTCCGTAATCGAATGAAATGGAATGAATGACTCAGCTGTAGAAGTCAACTTGGCAAGAAGCTAAATGTCATCATAAAGGTCAATGTGTTTTGATGCACTTCCACAAATGGAATTTAGAATAATAGAATAATTTTCTTAAAAAAACAAAAAAGCGCACATCTGCCGAAAGGTACACTTATTATTCGAATATATAAGAGGAATCAATTTTCTGATCATTTCATCTTATCATTTCTTTATCATCGCTTCGAATAAGACTGACATATTAGTAGGTTCTTTTTATGAGTAATTAAAGATTACTATTAATTCGTGATTGAGTTACTTCAATGTGAGTTTTACTTCTAAAAAATGTGATCTTTGGAGTATGGACTGTTTTAAAAGGAAAAATTCATAAGGAACAGTGCTTGGAATTAATTAATGAATAGTTGGAGCGATGGAAGTAGAAGCGATATTTTATTTTGGCTTGCAATAACTTACTTTAGCGCAATTTATGCAAATGCGATTAATATTTGGTTGTTTTTGCAGGAAGAGAAAATGAATAAACTTTTAATAGCATTCGGTTTGGTAATTCTTTTTGTGACACTTCCGTGTGCATCAGAATCAGACGAAGAGTTCGATGTAACTTTTGCAAATTTATGAAAGAAATAAGAAACCATTATGTTAACCAAATCACTAAATCGAGAGTAGTAGTACAGACCTAGCCAGGTCACGGAATAGTACGTGAGACAAACTGATAAGCAGGTGGTAACGTGGAGCTCTTTCGAGAAAATGACTTATGAGCTGACTGAAATGAGACATAATGCAGGACTTGAATTGCCACCATTTCTTTTCAAATCCATCAAAAAGAAAATATTTTTTTTAGGACACCGACGACAGCGAGGACGGAGGTGGTAGTGAAGGAGGTGATGAATATGTAACCAAAGGGGAATTTGTTGAAACTGATGGCAAGTAAGTCGTTTGGTACTTTCAATAATTTGAATCCTTCAAAATATTTCTGAGGAATCGGTTCCCTTTCCATCTCACTTTTTATGGGTCCTTTTATTAAAAATGTGTTATTTGTATCGCTGCAATCTTTCATTTCGCTCTGAAATAGTTATTTCTTAAATTGACTCCAAAATGTCGCATATCGATGTCACACATTACCTTACTTATGAAAGTGTCACATATTACTTACTTAGGAAAAAAGTTTGGAAATAATGCAAATAAAAAGCTCACCTCACTTTACCATTCGATTGCTTGCAGAAAGAAAGAGTGCTCTTCGCACGAAGCTTGCTACGATCAACGTGAACCACAAGCGTGGTGCAGACTGAGCGAGAATCAGGCATGGACGTAAGCCACTTCAATCATTTCTTGCGGAAATTACTGTTCCTCACAACTGTCAACGCTGTGTCCCCACTTCTCCCTCCCAGTGTTCCTCACAAGTGTCAACGCTGTGTCCCCACTTCTCCCTCCCAGTGTTCCTCACAACTGTCAACGCTGTGTCCCCACTTCTCCCTCCCAGTGTTCCTCACAAGTGTCAACTCTGTGTCCCCACTTCTCCCTCCCAGTGTTCCTCACAAGTGTCAACTCTGTGTCCCCACTTCTCCCTCCCAGTGTTCCTCACAACTGTCAACGCTGTGTCCCCACTTCTCCCTCCCAGTGTTCCTCACAACTGTCAACGCTGTGTCCCCACTTCTCCCTCCCAGTGTTCCTCACAACTGTCAACGCTGTGTCCCCACTTCTCCCTCCCAGTGTTCCTCACAACTGTCAACGCTGTGTCCCCACTTCTCCCTCCCAGTGTTCCTCACAAGTGTCAACTCTGTGTCCCCACTTCTCCCTCCCAGTGTTCCTCACAAGTGTCAACGCAGTGTTCCCACTTCTTAATAGCACTGATAAGTCATATTTCAGTGACAGAGGCTGCTTCTGCGAAGATAAGTTGCATTCGTGCGTCATCGAAAGAACGAACGGTGGTAAATTGGAGTATTCGTACTGCGCACCTGAAGCAGGTTGGCAATGCGCATAGGACTGAATCAGTCTTTGATACTACCAACTTTCCATCCATTTCTTACACTTTTCAAATTTAATTCTTTCTAACAAATAACATTTAACTTTGGTTTTACTGCTATTTTATTAAGTATTGGAAATATGTGCGACAATCAAATATGTCACATCACATTACATTGTGTCACAGATTTCTATTAAAATCTTTAATGTAACAGGAAGAATAAGCGATGTTATAATTGGATATCTTGAATGACAAAAGTTGTTCTTTTCATTTTTTAAAAAATTCAAGTAGTAACAACATGTTCAGATTCGATTGTCTATCAACAATAAAATACATTAAACTAAAATTCCATGCAAAAAATGCTGTATTGTTCAGTCATAAAAATGCAGTAAAAAGAAAAAAAAAAAAAAAAACAAACACACACACCAAGAAGCGAAATTTTAAACTCTGTAAAAAATGGAATGCTGATGAATATATTTTGCGAAACACTTGTTATCATCGAGTAAATTACAAACATAAAATTGAACAAAGATTAAAAAGTAAAAAAAAAAAACAAAGGAACGTTTAGTTCATAAGGATAAACTGCAACATACTGCTCATTTCATTTAGTGCTTCAATGGAACACTTTCATTTCATTTAATGCTTTATTCTAAATTGAACCAAATGAAATTCACAGTGAATATATTAGCTGGTAAGCACAGAAACTGATAACGCTCCCGGCCATTAGCAGTGATTAAAGCCTAGACAATCTTTTAGAAAGTGATAATATTCCATGCAGTTTCAAGTTGGATCATTGTTTGGCAGTAGAACAAAATCAAAAATTGAAAGTAACTTTATCGTTATAAAAAATACTTACAATAGAAGTAATATTAAGATTATATTCTTTTCAGATAAAATTACATTTTGTCTGAAATATATACCAAAAAAACAATTCGACAATTTAATTTATTTGATAAGTTTATCGCATAAGATCAGTTTTTTTTTTTTTTTTTTTATGATTCCTTTTCAAATTATGTTAATTAATTATTAAATGATTCACCTATCGATTTGGTAAAAGTGAGAGAATCAACAGGGAAAATGTTGTAAAAGTATTTCTACTATGAATCTGTTTCTAATTAGCTAAATTCAGAATCACTGTCTACGGTAAGTATCATTTGTAGCAATGAAAATTTTATTCAAGTATAACTGATCAATACGTTATTACTCGCTGATATCGCAGTGAAAACAAAGAGACAACAATTCGCTTTGTTTAAAGTCAGATATTTGTGTTTTAAATCGTACACAAAATACTGCATCATTTCACATTGCGCTAGCACAAAGCGCTACACCAATGTGCGTGTTCTGAAGGCGCAATTTGTTGTCACCTTAAATGTCACCTTAAATGGAAGCGCACCGCACCTTGCCACTCGTTGAAGCATACGGTCCTACCCGGTCAAATTCATTTTACGAAACCCTTTGGGTTGGTTGGTATTTGATGTAAAGTTCTAACTAATGAATTCCCTTATTGTATTAATCATTTTATTAAAACAAAGGTTTTAATTAGCCAATTTTTAGATAGCGAAAAGAAGAGATTAATCCTCTCAATCTTTGCCGCTATCAAAAAGAAACTGTCAACAATGTGTTAAGGCATTTTATGCGGCACTTATGCAGGTAAGAATTATAACTACATTCAACTTACAAACATGTGGTAAAGAATAAATGTGCGTTTTAAATTTATGCGAAATGAAAAAAACTAATAGATTAATTGGATAACAGCACAGATTGGAAATTATTTAAACTGTTGAATGATTAGTTTTAATTAATTCGAGTGAAATTAGCTTAATTTTCCAATCTATTAATTAATTTGATTCGTTTTGAATCATTGCATGCAGTAAAATTCTTTCATTTTATCACAATTTTAATTTCATGATGGCATTAATCAACAAGAAATATAAATGAAATACAGTAGAAAGAAAAAAAAAATGAAATCAACAAATTATTAGTTTACATCATTTAATGTTTTATATTATGACAAATTTATAAGCAGCAATAATTGGTAGAGAAAAGAAAAAGTTGTAAAAGTCATCCATACTTTCCATAAAAAAGCGGAAAAAGAAAAATTAGTAGAAAAAACGCTGTAAAAAACCAACCAGAAAATAACTTTTCCATTGGAAAAAGTAAAACTAAAATGAAAGTTGAGTAACGTATATTACAATAGTATTTTACGTTTTTAGACGTTTTACGTGTCGTATGACTCATGTATGCGTGATACCATCGTAATATATGATATTCACTTTCTGTGTTAAATGTTATTTTTCATCTAAAAACAGAATTCCAATATATGATATTCACTTTCTGTGTTAAATGTTATTTTTCATCAACAAAAGAATCCTAAAACAGAATTCAACAAAAACAAGCAAAAAAAAAAAAATATTGAACACAAATCTGTAAGTAAATCTGACAGGAAAATATCAGTAATCAATCAATTACACATATTCTCACCTATTCTTTCTCCCAGCACTCATAAATCTTTCAAAAAAAAAATTTTAGATAAAGAGCTGTTCTTATCCGAAATATATCTTATAACGAACTATCGTATCTCATTAATTTTGATTTTCAACCTCCTATAACAATTGCACATGGTCTCATGTAGAAATCGTTGCCAAGTTCCCTTCTTTTGTAAATTTGACGGTTTGCGTTCCATTCATTAATATAGAAGCTATAAAGTGTACCACGTACGTGATGTTTGCACACGCCTACACACGTACGTGACGTTTGGGTATATAACAGTGCTGTAAATTGCGTAAGATGAGTTATATGAAAGTAAGATTTAGCAAATCTTTTTTTGCTTGATACGATGCATACGTCCATGTAAGCTTTTTTTTCAGTGTACGTAGAAATAGATAATTGCTGTTATAGATTGATTGGATCTGATATGATATGATGTGATATGGACTGATATCCAGGACTTATATGTAAATGTTGCTTTGAATACTGCTTTTGTTAGACTTTGAAATGATTGCTGTGTTAATTAAAGACTTAACTGAAGTGATGTTTAACTAAAGTAATTGATTGTAAATATAATCTTCACAAGTTTTATTCCAGTTTGCTATTTTACTTTTTTTGTTCGAGAAGGAATTGCAAATTTAGTGATATCATTATTGGCATTTACATATTCATTCCTTATTATAATTCATTTTGTTAATTTCTGAAACTTCGGCATAATAACTTATGGTTTATGGTTTTTTATAAAATTGCAATTTTCTTTCTCATACGATTCTGTTTTTCTTATTTCATGGAAGTTTTGGATAGTTCACAGTTCATATTTCCGTAGCTTTTTTGTTAAATCGATGAAAACTGTAATTTTCAGGTGAACAAAAAGGAGGAAGTGCGAAGCAAATAAATATTTGCAAAACGGTAACTGCGCCGTTGTGCCATGCGTTCATTGTTTCGTACGATAGCGAAGACTGATCAGTTATGGCAAATAGTATCAATGATTATCCGTTATGCAGTAGCCAGTATCCAGCTGGCAATGTGGTGTGTTTAATTCAAATCTTTTAGCTTACTGTCCTCTCTTTAGAATGTTGGAAAAGTATTATGTCTCTATGTAATACGTTCTTTTGATATTCCGGCATCGTATTAAGTACGTATTAAATGCAAATATGAATTAAAAGTAAAATGACATTTAATTCAAAATATTAATAAGTCATAATGAAAAGTGAATAAGAGCTCAAATCGGAAGAAATTTTAGCGTGAATTGCAACAGAGTGGATTTTAGGATGAATTTCATCCCTTCGTGGAGGCTTTGTTGCCGTATGTGAAAGAGTTTAGTTATGTATGGTTTAATTTACAAGCTGCAAAGCGGAGGTATATGAAAAGAAATGAAAAGCGGATGACAGTCGATGAAGAGAAAAGTTGCAAAGATGCGTTAATGGCAAGCTTTTAATTGTTTTGGAAAATTTCATAGTTTTACCAAATTTAAGTATTTAAAGTATGAACTCAAGCATTTACTGAACACTGATATCCTATGAATATTTTTTGTGTGTCTTAAACTATTTCTATTCATTCCTATTCAGTGGTTGATACAATCATTCGATCTGTCGAAAAAATAAAAAACGACGACCGCATTGCTAGGACAGTAAGGAAATGATAGACCAAAGCTTGAATGCATTTGGAATAACGCTTGCATTTTATTTAGTAAAGGTTGACTGAGATTCTTCATTCCATGCTTTCAATTTACAGAATGAAAGGATGGAAATAAAACAGAAATGGGCAGGACGATTACTTGGCAAGTTAAGAAAAGATATACAACCTCATTGCCGGGAAGATTTTGTCCTTTGTGTCACAGGACAGAGGCCAGCAGTTTGCATATTGTCAAATCCCGATCAAAAGGGGAAGATGCGACGAATCGATTGCCTGCGACAAGCGGACAAAGTATGGCGTCTTGATCTAGTGATGGTTATTTTATTCAAGGTATGGAGGAGTTATAAATTCGGTTTAATAACATTTTTCTGCATTTTAATGGATGAATTACAACATTTGCATTGATCTTACTGTAACGTTGATGTTTCTGTCTTTAGATTTTCTTTCTCTATTTAGATAATCTAGTTTCTGATCATTTAACAGTTTGGTTCATCTGCAGTGCAGAATATAGAAATGGCATCTCGGCATGAACACGTCTGATTCTAGGGTATTCCTTTGGAAAGTACGGATGGTGAACGTTTGGAAAAATGTTCAGAATGTGCATTTCCAAGTTTATGTGTAAATCCTTATCATATTAGTATAGCTGTACGCGAATTAGATTTATTTTTGGCAAATTTTATACATACAACAAATCCGGATGCTGCCGAGGAAGAAAGCGATGAGAAAGGTGCTGATGTTTTCATTAATTTTGAGGAATAGTTTTCAAGTCAGCATAAAAGTGTTGTATATAATTATCTCACTAAATTTTCATATTTTTGTTGAGCCAGATTATTTAAACATATTTCATTCTGTTTAGAATTACAAGTATTTTATTTTATTTAGGATCACAGGTGCAC